TGAGGACTGATCCTCCCTTAAGGGGGATGTAGAATGGGGTTCACATGAATAAAATAATTCAGTTCCCAAAAACGTGGCCATCCACAAAACGCAAAAAAACAACTGAAGCTAAGACCTAGACCAAACTATCCTGAGCAAGTTCCTCATCAATTCATGCCCACTGCCTGACTCACACACCCAAATGGTTCCTTTCCATGGCCGTTATCCCTACCAATAAAAGTGTTTTTGCTGGCATAGGAAGGTAGGTTTTACTCAGAGGGAAACTGGCAAATAATGAAGATGAACTGGGGGTCAGAAACTAAACAAAATATATCCAACATGCTGTACCTGTTCTCAGCAAAGTACTAGCACAACCTATTGCAACACTGGATCTATAAATAGAGCAAGGAGCCTATTGGTGGAACTGAAGGATATGTGCTTTGGCCTAATAATTAGTCAGGCTTCCTGGAAAAGATGGGCTGATTATTTCTCCTCACACTGAGCTGTTCACAAAAGTGGCACCCAGAGTTCCATTACCTTGCATTTATATTGATTAGAATTTAAAAACAAAGAGATAGTCCACCTGAAACTCATATAATATTGTATATCAACTGCAACTGAAAAATAAAAAATTTCTAAATTATATTCTCCAAACCCTTCACTGCATTAAAGCTTGTGATATAATCACAGAATAATAATAATAACAGCAACAATAACAATAGTGTTATCACGGAAAGAGAAAGGGACCCTGAACTTTTGGAAATCTGCTTATTTTCATTCATTTTACCAGGGGTCTTTTACCATCGCCAGGGTTTTAACTCTACTCAATACTTCAAGGCCCAGATAAATTCTGCCTCATTTAGGCAACTTCAATGTGCTCTCTCCTCGCAATTTTCAAAGCTTCATTTCCTCCTGGCACATTATTCACATCTGCCTGGTTCAGTATGTGGGTACCTGGCATTTATTTCCATGAGGCTCTGAGCTACACACAGGGAAGATCTAAATGGTACTGTTGCATCCCATAAGAATCTAGGTTGGCACCTGACACATAGTAGGTGTTCAACAAGCATGTAGACTTGAAGGGAACAGTTAGTTTGCTGGGTCATCTCTAATCTGCATATTCCAGAATTTAGCTCTGAAGACAGATGACTCCTATGTAATCTTAGAAGGGCTGCAGATGGCTAATTACACCGATGTGAATTATCTGAATACAATATAAGTATTGTACTTGCTGTTCCCTCTGCCTGGAGGCCTTTCCTTAAGCTTCACAGTTCTTTCCTGCATCTCCTGCTGATCCTTGCTCAAATGTTACTTTCAGAGAAAGACTTTCCCCAATTATCCTATTTAAAATTTCAACACACCCCTGCTTTCATTTGAATGTTTGTGTCCCTCAAAATTAGTATATTTAGATCATAACCACCAAGGTGATGGTAGCAGGAAGTGGAGCCTTTGGGATCTGCTTAGGTCTGGAGGGTCTTAATGAGATTCGTGCCTTAAGAAAGAGACCCACAGTGCTCCATAGCTCCTTCTGCCAAGTGAGAATAGAATTTGAAGTCTGCAACCAGAAGAGGGCCCTCACCCGACCCTCCTGAAACCTCCAGCCTCCAGGACAGTGAGAAACAAATGTCGATTATTTATAGGCACCCAGGCTGTGGTATTTTGTTATAGCAGCTTGAATGGACTAAGACATATACACCCCCAACACAGGAACTACGTGTCCCTTTTTCCAAGATGTTTTTCTGTATATCACTGGTCATCATGTATTATACTGTATGTCTTACTTTTCATTTTTCTTATTCTCTATTCCTCACCTCACATCATAGAATGTAAATTCTATGAAGCAGAGATCTTTATACTAGTAAATTATATTTGCTCCTTTACTCACTAATGCTTAGAAAAGTCCCTGGCAGGTTAAGCACGAGATAGATACTCAATAAATAGCTTTGGAATGAAATTTAAAAATGAATCATAAAACACCCACCTCTACCTGGCACTGATTCTATTGAAGACACTGCACCTAATCAAATACATGTCTGCACAGTCAGGTGGCAAGCAGTGCATGAGAGAGCAGAGTAGGTATCTCCTCTGAGGCCATCACCAAAGGTTAGGACCCACTTCCAGGCTTGCATACCTTTGCCCTTAACAAGTCCAGAACCACTAGGTGGATGAGCTACACTGTAAGGCACAGATAATATGTGCTAAAGGGGTTCAGACCCAGAAGAAGCCACTTTACACTCATCACTGCGTGAAGTGTGGTAGGCAGCTTCTGAGATATCCCCGAGGTTTCCTACACTTCTGGCATTTACATCCCGTGTGGCCTCCTGCCACAATGAATCAGGACGGCCCTTTGGAGCTGACAGAAAATTTCCAGGGCCAGGTCAGCAAAGGTATCTCAGCTCCAGCCTCGGTCTCTCGGATTCCTCACTCTTGGGAAGGTGACTATGTTCCCCACTAGATTGCCAGTGCATCCCTCGTTCTTTGGGAAGCCAGCTGTCATGCTGTGATGACTCTCAAGAAGCCCAGGGAGAGGAACCAATTCGCCAGCATCAAACTGCCAGCTATGTGAGTGAGCCTCCTTGGAAGTAGTCCTTCTAAACCTGGAGAACTCTTCAGGTGGCTGTAGCCTTGGCCAATATCTAGTTTCAAACTCATGGGTGATCCTGAATGAGAACCACCTAAGTGAGTCACTCCTGAATTCTAAAATCCACAGAAACCATGAGAAGTAATAAATGATAATTATTGTTTTCAGTCATTAATTTTGGGAGGTTTATTACACAGCATTAAATAACTAATACAAGAGATCATGGAAATGACTTCTACAAAGGAAGTAGGGCTTGAAACAGAGGCATCAAAAAAATTGTAGAAATACAAGGCAAAGCAGAAAAGCAAGTATGGGGAGAAACCACGAGCAAAGGCAGGTACAAATGTTACACAGAAACCACACCCACAGAGAACCTCAGGATGGGAACAAATCTAAAGGACACTCGTACCTTTCATCTAATGTTAAAGTTCATTCTTAAAATAGTAAAATGAAGGCAAGCATTGCATGAATTTATCTAAACTGAAACTCAGGAGAAGGTTGACTCCCTATAATTCTCCTCTATGTAGTGATACAAATGAGGAGTATTCAATCACAACAGAGACCAACCACATTCCTGAGTCTGAATTCAGGTCACTCCTTAAAGTGGTTTAATAAGAACTGAGGGAGGAGGAAGAGAGAGAGCAGGAAAAAAGGGAGGGAAAAGAGGAGAAGCAAAAGAAGCAGAAGCAGGAGGAAAAGAAGGAAAAAGAAGTAAGAACAATTATAGCAACTCTACAACAGAAGAAAGAGAAGGAAGGAAAATATTGATTAACTGAAATGCTATGCAGTGGGGATTGTCCTAAGTTCTTTAAATACATCAGCTCATTTTACCCTCACCACAACTCTACATCTCAAATTATTTTAGTTCTATTTCTTCCTCCCCCACCTCACAAGAGACTTCCCCTCAACCCATTCTCCCGAAAGTACACAACTACAGAGAAGGATTAAGTCATCATGCACCTAGCCTCTTTCCAGGAAAAATCTGAGCACACAGTCAAGGTTCCAGCAGGTTCCAGTCAAGAAAGAATCCACTCACAGATTTGGGGCATTCCCTTCCTCAAGGATATAAAGTAAGATTTTCTAGACTGCTGATCAGTACACCTCTAATCAAAGGAAGAACGTATCTGAGGTGAAAAAGAAAAAAACCTACAGCATTCTCTATCCCAAGAAATCATGTTTTACTGCCCCAGAGTCGGTTCTTCCAGAGGCCAGTGGTAGATCTTGGAACTCCTCCTGGAGGAAGGATTTCGCCACAAAGGTAACTATTTGAAGAAGTAGATTCAGGTATTTGCCTTTAACCAAAGGGGAGCATGAGGGAACTTGTTCTGTATGGAGTCACTTTCCAAAGATTCTGCCATATTTCAGTGGTATAAGGAGGGGAGGAATCCCAGGTCAAGGTCAAGCCAGAGGTGGTGGACTTAGTAAACATTCCCCTCCACACCATCCTCCCGTGAAAAGAAGGTACATGCTGACCTAGGATTAGAGAATAGTTTTTAAAACTTACTCAAGGTATTGAAATAGCTGGTTATACGTCTGAGTAAACAAAACATAGAAAATTAATTATAAAAGGTATATATACTTTAGAGAGGCTGGAAGATAAGACATGTACCAATGAGTAATGGTCTTCCTACTATCTATGAGACCAGAAAAATAAGGCCTTCAACTAATACCATCCCAATGGTATTGATGATGGACATGAAAGGGTCACCATCAAAAAAGTCTAGGAATGATCACCAAGATCTCATATACATGGGGCTCAACAGAACATGCTGGAAGTGGACAAAGAGGATGTCCAAGAAACTTCTATGGAGAAAAGTAGTCATAAAAACTCTCATTTAAAAATGACATGGAGCATTATGTTAATAGAAATAAGCTAGTTGGAGAAAGATAAATATCACATTATCTCACTCATAATTTGATGAACAAGAATAGATCTAGAGACAAATGGCAAGGGAGCAAGAGTTAGAGAGCAACCAAAGGACTTGTATACATGCATATTAGCCTAACCAATGGACACAGACACTGTGGCAATGGGGGCTTGCCCGGAGTGAGAATGGCTGGAGAGGAGGGAGGCAGGGAACTGTCAAGCAGGGAAAAAGGAGACGTATGTAAAACTTTAGACAAAAACAACAACAACAAAAAGGCTTTGGACTCTTGAAACAATGGAATTATCAACCAGATAGGCCACCCTGGTTTGTAAAAGGATGCTTTGCTGCCCAATCTACAGGGTCACAGGAAGCAATTACTGTCATTCAGATATAGCACGTTCCCAGAGAACACAGGCAGGAGTAGAGAAATGTGCCCTGTGTCTCTGCATTTCCCCATAGCCCAGGCACAAAGCTGCACACAGAGTAAGATGTGTTGACAGTACTATAACCCACACTCCACACCCTCAAGTTGCTCTGATTCAAAGGTGCCAAGGCCCCTGCTCTGAGTTTACCATCATTGAAGCTGTCGCTGTTGGTAACGTGGGTGAACGGTGACTGGGCCCGCGGCTCCTCGCTCAGAGAATAGCTGTGCTCGGCCTGGATGAGAGGCGCTGGGGATGTTGGGGATGGCTCCACCTCCATTGACACACTCTTCTCTGAGAGGAAAGGGTCGTTCAGCAGCTGACCCAGGACGTTCTGGGAAAACTCATCCAGAAGTTCTGTGAAGTGCTGCAGGAAACACAGGAGGAAGAACTCAGTTTCTCTGTACCATGATCTGATATTTACACACAAAATTCGAAAGCAAATACATCATCCAGAGCTTTAATCGAAGTCATTGAGATACTATGTACAGTTATCTGTGACTGCACAGCATACTACCCCAAAGTTCAGTGGCTTAAAATGCCACAGTTTATTATTTCTCACCACTTGGTGGGTGAGCTGATTTCTTCTGGGTTCCGTGATAGAACCATAGTGAGCTAGAAGGTTGGCTGGGGGCTGGGCTGGGCTAGGACCTGGGCTTTTTGCTCAAAGAGGCTTTCTCAGGCTGGAATTGCTCACATGGTGGTAGAAATGTTCCAGGAGGCAGCAAAACAAAGCTGAATGACCTCAGAAGTCTCACATCATCCCTCCCTCCACATTCTTTGGTAAAGGCAAGTGACACGGCCAGCCCGGATTCATGGGGTAGGAAAATAGATTCCACCTCTCAGTGAAGGAATGGCAAAGTCACACTGCAGGAGAGTGTCAGCATGACTCACAGGGGCCCTCACGGTAACTCCCTACCATGACCTGCATTGGGAAGATTTTAAAATAGCTATCCTGTTAGTATTGCAAAGTGCAAGTTCAAAGGCGTCAAAGGCAGCTCCCCTCTATTTTCCCCACCACCAGGGCTTTGTTCCTCTGCTGTTTTTCCTTAATTTATTTTTATCCCCCATTTCCAACACCACCGACTCTCTAGCCCCCACCATACCATGAAGATGATGCAGGCATAATCTATAATAATAAAAGTGTAATATGCTAATGAGACCAGATGTCCTTCTGGACGTCCTTCTAGATGAAGCTGGGCTGTGAGGGAATCCCCGGTCCCTGGGTGCCGGCTGGAGGAAGCCCAAGTGCTGGGTACCAGAGAGAAGCTGTACAGGCAGCCGGTGGAAGGAAGGCCTACTCTTGCATGAATTTTGTGCACCGGGCCTCTAATCCATACATATATTCACAGAGATCTCTACATCCCTTGTTCCATTGTCTCACTCTGAAGAAGCTGCCAACGTTATATGCTATGAATCGCCCAGGAATCTTAAGACGTAGATGCAGACTCCCAAGTCTAGTGGCCCTGAGGTTCTGCACTTCTGAGAAGCTCCAGGGATGCTGAGGGGCACAATAGCTTCAGGCTAAGATCAGAACCCAGGTTTTCTTGACTCCAGTATAACCTCTTCTGATTCCCTAAACAGCTCCCCAAAGACAAATTTACTGGTGGCCTGATGGTAAATATTCTGCAAGTGCCTGACGGAGTTCCTTTCAAGACCAAAGTTAAGGTAATGGAAGAGAAATAAATCGTAGCATATAAAATGCAAAAGCAAGAGTTGATCTCACAGTCCCTGCATTTCCAACCCACAGTTCTGTCCCCTGAGCTGCAGTGCCGACTCTGGCCAGCTGTGTTGGCCCTGCTACACCCCTGGAATCCACTCTGCCCTGAGGCAAGGCTCTCTTTGATGGCCGCGCTTTCCCATGGAAGTTGCCAGGTTGGGCTACTCTGCTGACACTGTTTTCTTTCCCGGGTGCAGCACTAATGAATGTTTCCATGAACATCCCTGGATAACCAATAATAAACCTTCTCAAACTCTGCCAACCATCCCTGAATCCCCTACTTTGGGATTTGTAGTAATTATCATCTTGCCAAACCATTTAGCCCTAAACGATGATCAATCCTGAAGAACTCAGAGTTGTTGTCGAATGCATTCTGATAAACTCTCCTGTTAAAGAACCTCCTCAGAAGAAGGGACCAGCTGTGCCTAACCACCTTTCACAACTAGGAACTTGGTAAAATGGTGAGCACGGAGTAGTTCCCAGGGAGAGACAGTGGTGATGGAAAAGATATGCCAAACTTGTCCCAACCATGCGGTGACTGGGCCCAGCAACTAGCCTCAGCTGGATATCCTTGACAGCTGCGGGCTCCAGGGCTCAGCAGACAGGTCAACATCCCACTGCTATGCAAGGCAAGCCAGAGCTGGCCCATCCTTAATGCCAGCCAGCGAGGGAGGGGCATATGGTCTTGGAGCCCAAACACCGGAGAAGGGAGCCAAGTGAACACATGATAGCAAAGGATTACTCATGTGAACCCAAGGGCTAAGCAATTTTAGTTGCTCTTTTAAGAATGTGGCCACAATAGCATTTCACCATTCCACCTAATAGTCAAGTTTTACGGTTTTACAAGTTTGAAAGGTTGACTTAGTTGGCCAAAGGCGTCTAGTATATTAAGGCACCACCACCAGTGAATCTAATGTTCACTTTAATTTCTTAGCTTTCCTACCCATTAATGCTCACAGCAATCCCACTGTCCAAGATCTCAGTCACCTACTATTAAGAGACAGACCTTGGTCCCTAGCTGGTTTGGCTCCGTGGATAGAACATCGGCCTGCGGACTAAAGGGTCACTGGTTTGATTCTGGTCAAGGGATCATGTCTGGGTTGTGGGCTTGATCCCCAGTGGGGAGGGGGGGGGTGCAGGAGGCGGCTGATCGATGATTCTCTCTCATCATTGACATTTCTATCGCTCTCTCTCTCTCTCCCTTCCTTTCTGAAATCAATAAAAGATATATATATTTTTTAAAAGAGACAGATCTTGAACAACAGTCCACTTATTTCAGATTGACTGAACTTTTTCACATTGTTTCTCTAAGAAAGAAGTATTTGAGCTTCACAATCCAAATGCATGGAGATGTTCTAACAAGTATAAACCATGATGCCAGTCTTTGATGATCTTGATAAGAATCGGGTGCTGGATTTAGCTGATGAACTAAGTGCTTAAACATGTTAGACTTTCAGAAAATGAGCTAGGTGCTTAAGGTATACATGTCCTATTTATATATGGGGACACTGTGGCTCAGAGTAGATAGGTTCATTGCCCAGGGTTGGGGTTGCACAACTGTTGAGATTCCACCCCAAGTCTAGCCGATTCCAAAGCCCATGCACAGTGTACCATAGAATGCTGCTTCATTTAAGTCAAGTTCTAAAATTGATGCACAGTGGACAATAGAGTTAAAAACAGAAAAACAAGAGCCATACACGGTTAGAACATCTGCCCATGCATTGAAGGGTCACAAGTTCAATTCTGGTCAAGGGCACGTACCTGAGTTGCAGGTTTGAGTCCCAGCCCCAGTTGGGGCACATGCAGGAGGTAACTGATTGATGTGTCTCTCTCACTTTGATCTCTGTGTGTGTGTGTGTGTGTGTGTGTGTGTGTGTGTGTCTCCCTCCCTCCCTCCCTCTCTCTTTCTCCCTGTCTTTCTCCCTCTCCCTCCTCCCTTCCACTCTCTAAAAATCAATGGAAAAAACGTCTTCAGGTGAGGATTAACAAAAAAGAAAAAGAAAAAGAAGTAGACGGACTTATTGACAGCCCATCCATTCACTCATCCATACACGGTCTTCCACATTCAAAGTGCAGAAACACGCCCGAGGGGTGTTAGATGGAGAGGCTCCTGGTACCACTTCCATGGAACACCGGCAACAAGGATGAAAATCTTTACCTGCCCCTAGTGCACGCATGGGTCTGTCAAAGGTTCAAAGTAGTGATACAGAATCTCCAGGTCAAAACCTCCTGACAGGGTTAAACCCCTGCCTTGTGACATGAATGTTCCTCCCCTACCACAGGGAAGATGTGTGGCAACTTCCTTTAAGAATCTGTGTTGAGCCCTAGCCAGTTTGGTTCAGTGGATAGAACATTGGCCTGGACAAAAGGTTCCCAGGTTCGTTTCCGGTCAAGGGCACATGCCTTGGTTGCAGGCTCCTCCCTGGCCCGGACCCTGGCTGGGGCGCACCAAGGAGGCAACAAATTGATGTGTTTCTTTAACATCAATGTTTCTCTGTCTCTTTCCCTCTCTCTTCCACTCTTTCTATAAATCAATGGGGAAATATCCGTGTGTGAAGGTTAACAAAAAAGGAAAAGAAAAAAAAGGATCTGTGTCGAGGTCTTGCCTCCCAATTACAAAATACCCAACATATAACACCCTCCAACCTGGCCCCAAATGTCCTGCGAAGTCTTGTCTCCCTTTACTGTATTTGCATACATGATACTTTCATTCCAGCCCTAATGGAGCTCTGCATGACAGTGTGACAATATCGTTGTGGAACCGGAGAGCCCTGTGCAGACCTGCAGAAGCGCCTTCAGTTCTCAAAACCTCAGATAATCCCTCTCTGAACAGTGAGGATAACAAGAGCACCAGCTTCCTGCTTCGAGGATTAAATTAAATAACATGTAATGCACTTAACACTTCACTGACACAGCAATCATTTTAAAAAGCTCTTTAAAAACGCAAAACCCTGTCACAATTAAAGCAATGAAATGTTGGCATTTTCTACCCACACACTGTTCCTCCTAGAACATCCTTTCATTTTCCTTTCTACCCATCAGGAAACTAAGACAAAACAAATCTATTTTTTTAAATGTATTTATTGATTAAGGTGTTACATATGTGTCCTTATTCCCCCATTACCCTCTCATCCCTCCCCCACTCATGTCCTCACCCCCCACCCCTGTTGTCTGTGTCCAATGGTTAAGCTTATATGCATGCATACAAGTCCTTTGGTTGATCTCTCTCCCTTACCCCCACCCTCCCTTACCTTCCCTCTGAGGTTTGATTTAAGCCAATCAGAGAAAGATAAATATCACATGATTTCACTCATTTATGCAATAGAATGAACAACATAAACTGATGAACAAAAACAGATCCAGAGACAGAGAAACATCGATCAGACCAACAAATCTATTTCTTTTCAGTCATTTAGACAGACACATTTAATTGATCTTTTACTTCCCTGACCAACTCCAGCCCTTCAAAGAAGAGTTACTTAATCTGATGTTTTTACTTTTCCTTGATGTTCCTTTCATAAACACCTAAAGTCTTTTGCCATCAGGCCTTATGAACTATAACCCAGATGTCAACCTTTTCCCTACCCCCTCTGAGCCTGGCACAGATCATAGGTGATGTGTGCTCATCTCTCGTTTCCATTATCACT